CCGCTTACACATGCGCAGCCTGCCTGATGGCTGCTTGAAAGTCTCCGATCTGTGAAGCCGGGATGAGCCCAATACCAACAGTGGAGCACCCACAGGGACATCACTCGAAGAAAAATAAGGTGGTAAGTAACAATCAGCATGGTGTCAAGAACAAAATCAAACCAACCTGATAGCTTTCTTTAATAGGATAACAAGCCTTGTGGATAAGGGGAAAGTGGTAGATGGGGTATATCTAGACTGTAGTAAAGCATTTGATACAGTCTCACATGATCTTATCAATAAACTAGGGAAATACAACACAGATGGGGCTACTGAAAGCTGAGTGCATAACTGGTTGGATAACCATTCTCAGAGAGTAGTTTATCAATGGTTCACAGTCATGCTGAAAGAGCATAGTGAATGGGGTTCTGCATGGGATCAGTTCTTTTCAATATTTTCATCAATGATTTAGATAATAGAGAGAGTATGCTTATAAAATTTGCAGATGACAATAAGCTGGGAGGGGTTGCAAGTACTTTGGAGGACAGGGTCATAATTCAAAAGGATCTGAACAAACTGGAGAAATGCTCTGAGGTAAACAGGATGAATTTCAAGAGGACAAATGCAAAGTACTCCAATTAGGGAGGAACAATCAGTTTCACACATGCAAAATGGGAAGTGGCTGTCTAGGAAAGAGTACTACAGAAAAGGATATAATGATCATAGTGGACAACACGCTAAATATGAATCAACCGTGTGACACTGTTGCAAAAAAAAGCAAACATGACTCTGGGATGCATTAAGAGGAGGGTTGTGAACAAGACACGAGAAGAGGAGGTTACTTACTTTGTGCAGTAACTGACATTCTTTAAGATAAGTGTCCCAGTGGGTGCCCCAGAATAGGTTTTGGTGCGCCCCTGTGCTGTGGATCTTCAGAGCAGTGTCCCCAAGGCCATACAGCCTGTACCACGTGCACTCAGTGTCCTGGTATTCTGCATGCATGAGTCCCCTGACCCCTTGCAGTTCCTTCTCTACCTCAGAGAAAAAACTCCCAGTGAGAAAAATCTCCCAAGTAGAGGGGAGGATAACAGGGACACTCATCTCGAAGAATGTCAGTTACTGCACCAAGGTGAGTAACCTCCTCTTTTTCATCAGGAGATGTCCCTGTGGGTATTCCACAATAATACATACAGCTTTACAGTCACATAAAGACGTAGGGGCTTCAAATCTAGTAAAAAGCCCATGAACAGGACAGCCTTGGCCATTCTGAGGTCAGATAGTGGGCCCTGTATTAGTGTGTAATGTTTGCCAAAGTCTAGCCTCAGGCCCATATGGCAGACTGACAAATGTCTGTGACTGGATCCTTGCGTAAAAAGGCTACTGAGACATGTACAGCCCTGGGGGAATGCACTCAAATGATTGTAGAGGGATTAGCACTGGCTGAATTGTAACTGAGTCAAATACAATTGGAGATCCAGTATGAAAGTCTCTGCCATGAGATACCTTGACCTTTGTTATGGTCCACGATAGAGACAAAGAACTTGATGGACGACCTGAATGGTTTCATTTGATGTATAGAAAAAGAGAGTGCTCTGCGTATGTTGAGTGTGTATATTGTTGACTCAGATGGGTTCGCATGGAGTTTGAGGAAAAAGGTAGGAAGGTATACTGTCTTGTTCAAAATGAAGAAAAACATGTATCTTAGGCAGGAATTTCAAGTAAGTATGTAATCACCTTGTCTCTGAAAAAGGTTGTATAAGGGGGATCCATCATGAGATCAGCGATTTCTCCCACTCTTCTAGTGGATAGGATAGCTCCAAGGAACACTGTTTTCATTGATAGGTGTAAAAGGGAGGATGTAGCCATTGGTTCGGAGGGTGGACATGTGAGTGCATTTAAGACTAGGTGAAGATCCCAGGGTTCGGGTGGTGAAATGACATCTGGGTAAATGACATCTGAAAGTCTTTAAGGAATCTTTTAGTAGCTGGGTGTTCCAAAAATTGATGAATCATCTATCTTTTGATGGAAGGTAGTTATAGCAGCAAGATATACCCTAATGGAGTTAAGGGCGAGGTTTGAGGCATAATAAGTATTCAAAGATCATAGGTAGGGATGCCGTAATTTTGGAGGTCTTGTTGGTCAGAGTACCAGAGTGAAAATCTCTTCATTTTTGCATATCTATTTTATGGGTGTTCTGAGTTCTGCTGTGAAGTAAAACTTGCTGGACAGATTCAGAACATTCTGATTCTTGTGGATTGAATCTCCTGTGGGAAGGAGGCAGAGTTAAACCACGAGGCACATCTTGCAATGACTGCTGTGGATCTCGCAGCTGTATCAGCTACATTGAGAGCTACCTGTACGGCTGTTTGGGAGATGGTATGATAGTCAGTAATCACAGCCTTGAATTGTTGCTTCTTTGCTTCTGGAATGTCACTAATAAAATTGTTGAACTTGGAATAGTTTCTGTGGTTGTATTCGCTTAGTGAGGCCACATAATTAGCTACATGAAATTGGAGTATGGATAACATGTATACTATATGGCCAAAAAGGTGAAGTCTCTTACTGTCACGTAGAAGACTGTTGTCCTGATGTGGTCTTTAGACTGGTGCCTATAGTGTGGAGCTCATGAGCTCCAGTATTGCCACTGTGGTAGGTGGGGCATTGGAGGGTGGCATCCATAGTTGTACATATTGTGGAGGAAGGTCTCTATGTTCAGTGCATCTCAGGCAAGTTCTGGCATAATAAATGAAATGATCAGTGGGAGGAGAATTCTGGGATGAGAAAACTACCTCCACATCATCGTCGTCTTCCTCACTTGAGACCTGTCCCTGAGATAGCAGATGGTGTGGTGCTGGAGTGTATGATGAATGGTCAGTTCCAAAGAAGGGTAAATTGAAAGTCAAGGAGACCACAAGGTCTCTATGATGGACAGTAGGCTGTACTGAAGCAATTTGTAACGCTATGGTTTGTATCTGTGCCGATCATGCTGTTGAATGCAGTGCTAGTGTTGAATGAAGCAGAAACAGTGGGTGCCAGAAGAAGTGCTAGCGCTGTTGGTGAGGCAGAATTGGTGCTGGGTGGTGTCGTGTGTTATGAGGCAGGCAACTTGAAGTCTATAGCCTCAGCACGGGGTTTGCATGCACTGGATTTTGTTGTGCCGGAGATGTCTGAGATGCTCGGAGCATCATGGGTCCTGAGACGTGACTCTGTGGACAATTTCAGCACTGAAGTTGCCAGGGACTGCTGTTTCAGTGGCGGAGCATTTCGTGGTACTGAAAAAGTGTGCTTTTTAGCGTTTTTTTTTAAATCTCTGGTGGCCTGGGGGGTTTCAGATACTATGAGCATGAGGCAAAAATCTCTGTACTAACAAGCTTGTGTTTTAAGTTTTGAGCAGTGGACATTTTTGGGAGACATGGGATTCCCCGAGGCAATGGATGCATTGCGAATGCCCATCCAAGACTGGGATTGGGTCATTGCAAGAAGTGCAATATTTAAAGCCTTCGGAACCAGGTATTCAATCTAACAGGGAAGGAAAAAGAAAAAACAATTTGGGGTGGGGGAGGGTGGAGAGAAGAAAAGGGAGAAAACCTGTAACTAGGAGGAAAAAAACAGTATTACTTATCCATCTACTGAAAATAGCAAAGAACCAGGTTAGCTGAGGAACATTGCAGAACTCGGTCTCTGAACTGATGGGGAGGGAGGCTCGCACATGCATGATACCAGGATACCATGCCTGGGCAGCCCAGGGGATACTGCTCTGAAAATTCTGACACATGGTGCAGGGGCTCACTGACACCTACTGTGGAACAACAAGAGAGACATCTCTGGAAGAATTCTTCCCCTCTACTCTGCGCTGATTAGGCCTCAACTGGTGCATTGTGTCCAGTTCTGGACACTTTCTGGACAACTTCAGGAAAGACATGGAAAAATTGGAGATGGTTCAGAGAAGAACAACAAAAATGACTGAAGGTCTAGAAAACATGACCTATGAGGTAAGACTGAAAGAATGGGGCTTGTGTAGTTTGGAAAAGAGAAGACTGAGAGGGGACATGATATCAGTTTTCAAGTACCTAAAATGGAGGGAAAAATTTATTTCCCTTAACCTCTGACTATAGAACAAGAAATAATGGACTTAAATTACAGCAAGGGAAGTTTAAGTTGGACGCTAGGAAAACATTAACTGTCAGGGGGATAAGTAGTGGAATAAATTGCATATGGGGTTGTAGAATCTCTATCTCTGGAGATATTCAAGTGCAGGTTGGACAGATATCTGCCAGGGATGATCTAGATGGCACTTGGTCTTGCTTTGAGGGCAGGGGACTGGATTTGATGACATCTCATTGTCCATTCCAGTTCTAGTATTCTATGATTCTATGAAAACTTTAAAAAGTTGTGCATGAACAAAAGCAGGCCAATATTAGACCTTTTGGAAATCTGCTCAAAAAACACACACATTTGGCATGTATGTTTCATATTTGAACATTATGACCCAAATGGATAGATCTCTAAGAAGGCAGAGATCTTGTGTTCAAAGCAGGTAGCCCTCATAAGTACATAAGAATATGACCCAACCATACCTTGAATTTTCATAACACATTTCTACTAAAAGATTTCAAAATGGTTTAAAAATTTAAAGATATACCAATACTAACATAAAACAGGTATTGTCATGTCTAACAAAGAGACTGCAATAACTTCTTGAATGAAGTTAGCTACTATTATGCATCGTAAAACAAGAACAGGTAGCAATTTAGGATAGAAAGTGAAAATAAAAGATTGCTTACCCATTATTTCTGTTGTTGCAGCACACTTCTTCCCTTTTCTGGAAAAGGAATCAGTCCTTGCACACTGCATTAAGGATTTACCTAGCAAGAGGAAAGGACACAACAAATTCTATGACTCAACAGAGGTTTACAAAGTGCCCTCCCCAGCTCTAGGACTTTTTTGCCTCATTTTATTAAAAACATTGAATCCATGCTTCAGCTCACTCCCCCCTATTAATTTAACAGGAGAGGGACTTTAGGGAGTCCTCTCTAAGCCAGGAGAGAGGGAAGCATAAACAGAAACCCAGCACTCCTGCAAGGAGGTTTAACGGTAGTTCGAATTAGGAGCTTTAATTCGAACTCCCTAGTCCGTGTAGCCACAGGCAGGGAGTTCGAACTATGGGGCATTTAAAAATGGCGGCGCCCAGGAACATGCAAACGAAGCCTGGGATATTTAAATCCCGGGCTTCATTTGCAAGTTCGAATGCCTACATTAGCTGCCATAATTTGAATTAGGGTAGCAGTGTAGACATACTCTTACTGTGTCTTTCTCCTGCACCTACCCTTGCTTCTGCACCCTCTCTCATGGCCACTCACTGTACCTTCCCTTGCTTTTGCCTCCTCCCTCTGGCCAGACACCCTGCTTCCAGCCTGCTCCTGCACTCTATATCACACCCTCTCCACTTCCTACCCAGATCCTGCATCCCCGTACTTTTCCCACTCACTGGCAGCCCTGTTCCATATACTGAACCCCTCAGTTTTGTCCCCATCTTAGAGCCTACTGGAGGTCCACAAAATTTACTAACCCTGGAATTTTGCTGTTTGTTCTAAATTTAAAAATTAACTTAAAATATGACTTTAATTAGTATTTGTTATATTTTTTCTTTATATAAGAATTAGTAACACTGTTTGTATCAGTTAATTTCTAAGTTATCACCTGCACACAAAAAATCATGAGTTTTTCAAGTGCCTAATTAGCTTCCGGAATGGAATCATGGGTTAAGCTGTCCACCTACCAAAATATGAAATGGCACCCCTGCATTTGAGAATAGGGGGCACTCATTTATCCAATATACCTCCAGTGACTCAGAATTATTTGCCCCCTTACTTCCTAATACATAGAGACATAACACGGTTTATGGAAAATGTGTTCCTATTTCAATAAGAAGTGATGTCATAGAATAATGTACTCAACTGATAAACTACTGCAAATTTAGTTAGGCAAAATATAAACATTCAAATTCCAATTTGGAGAGAATTCTTGGAAACATGAAAGTAGCCCTATATTGATCACAAGGGATAAAATTTCAGTTTCTTTTATTCATCTGAGTGATAATAAGCCAATTGCTATATTTCTTGAACATTTATGTTAAGGTAAGGAAAAAAAATTCCACAGCATTCTCAAAGAAAAATCAGGTGATGCTTTTTTCTTAAATGGCTGCAATAAAAATGGAGCTTATTAAGAGATCCTAAGCATTTTAATTAGAATTGCAATGTTATCTTCCATAGTTAATACTTTTAACAGTTTTCTGGTTTACATTTCTAGTATGACTATTGCTCCAACTAACCTTGATATGTAGTATCATCATCTGCTTTAAACAATTTTCTAGGGAGCAGCTTTGTTTTCTTTTCTTCTTCCTTCCTCATTTCTACTTCATCAGAATCACTTTCTGCATCATTGTGGTACATTCGTTTGAGATTCACTTGTACTGTAGGCCCTTCAAAGTATGAAAAAAAATTCTGAACTAGAGAGAAATAAATGAATGTTGCATTTGTAAGTGGACTTGTGCACAGCCCTGAATGATTGGTGCATGTCAATATAAGAAGCTGCAGCCCCACTTTCAGTATCTTTATTCCATATACCATGCAAGGACTCCAGTGAAGCAGAAAAAGATGAATGATATGGTTGATGTAGGTCTGCTGACATAATATACTTAGAAATCAGCTGTTAAAATAAGTAGTCTTCCTTTCTCTGCTGAGAATTGCTTCTTCATATCTTATTCCTGAAAGACTTATGGCAGAAAAACCCTCTGGAGAAAGACTGGGTACTTAATCAAATCAAAATGAAAGGACTATTCTCACAAAAAGCACAAAATTTGGCTGATAAATTAAGTGCAGCAGTAGGGCACCACAAGATGTAATAGCCTACACAGCCTTTGTGTAATGGTGGATCCATAGCTATACATATGCACCTTTACCCAATTACATTCCACAAATGGTCCAGTTTTTGTCCCTTATCTGTACATGTGTCTCTCATATAAACAGTCCAACAATCATAGAAGTGCTAAAAAAAAAGGTTACTCATCTTGTAACAGTTGTTCTTCAAGATGTATTGCTCATATTTATTCCAATTAGCGTATGCACACCATATGCACAACTGCTGGAAAGTTTTAACCCTAGCTGCTACTTGTTTGGTTGGCTGTGGAGTCCTTTATAGTTCCTTCTTGACAGCTACTCCAACAAAGGGGAAGGATGGGTAGATATGTAATAAATATGAGCAATACATCTCTAAGAACAACAGTTAAAGGTGAGTAACCATTTTTTCTTCTTAGAATACTTACTCATATGAATTCTAATGAGGTG